ACTATTAAATCGATTCAAAAATTATGCAATAGTTTCAGGCTGGAGCACTTACGGTATTCAACGAGGGCAATCGAAAGAACCCCTGAGTGCGCATGGGTAAAATGTCTTTTTTGCCCCTCTCCTGTATACGTAGGTGTCACTGAAGGCAGCGGTAAAGGTGAATGTGCAGCATGTCGGTGGAAGGAAAGAAAAGAAACAGAAAAGGTCGAGATTCCAAGAAAATGATCCCTTCGTCGTAGCTACCATCTTCTTGAGCGCTCCCCTCGCCACAGTACATCTTTTTTTCACGAATGTCCGCTGCAGTGCGATTTTTGCCTTTAATCAGGGAATAAAGATGCTCGACGCAATTTGTAAACAATCGACAATACGGAAAGTTCGAAATTGACCCACAAATTGGGAGAATGTTCCGGATAAACAATTAAATTCTCATTTTTCATGTTTCTGCCCAGTTGCTCTGATTTTTCCTTCACTGCCGCATCTGCTTCTCTGCCTAAAAAAAATAAATAAAAATATATTAATTTAAAATATAAACGAATAGTAAAAAAAAAAAAAAAAAAAAAAAAAAAAAAAAAAAAAAAAAAAAAAAAAAAAAAAAAAAAAAAAAAAGCTAGTGCTCCTTGAAGTGACGGCTTCGCCTTAGTATGTAAGTAAGGTGAGAGAGAATATCTCGACACATGTTTTAAAGTAATTCACCTTGTGAAATTCCTCGAAGGTTTTAGTGTCAACTAAGTGAAAAAACGAGGCGTCAGCTGCTCGTATCAGCGCAACAATTGACATCCTTGTTGAATATGATGAAGTAGTTTGTACAGCGAATGTGTCCTTGATACAGCATTAGCACTCTGGCCTTGATTGGGTCAAATAATATAAGATGTGCTCGCCGAGAATGCCAATTCTTTTTGAAGAACGCGATAGTGGAGCAGTAACTTCGAGATTATGAGTATATTGTAAAGAATCCACTAGAAGATCGTTTAGCCTGGTCGAAATACAGCTGGGTGCAAAAGGACGAGCAATTAAGACAGTAATGAAGTAATCATTAGCCTCTGGTAAACTTACGAGCCGTTTAACGTTCCTGTTAAACTGCTTCTTCTTTAGTGCCCTGTGGCAGCTCTTTGTATGTGTGGTTAGGTTCCATAGAGTCATGTTACGCGCCAGTACAACGTAGTTTGGAAAAGCTACGTTCGTCCCTAATTTTTGCACACCAGTGTAGTAAGGGCGTCTGCAGGTAGGTAACGAGAAACGAACGCGTTTGGTGATTCTTTCGAAGGTTTATATGTTGTTTATTCAACAGTGATGAATGTTCACGATAGAAAAAACATTAGGAGCAGTACCGGAAAATTTCCATTGCTGCGGCTTATATTATTCAAGAAGTCTTCATTGAAAGGTGACTGATGACCGTACTCGTGTGTGCGAGCAGTAGCCTATACGGAAGTAATCCGTGAACTTTTCGGAGCGCCTAATCTAATCCTATTTGGCCAGTGATATTTGATACCATGAACGCTTTATGAGGCTTTTCAATCCATTATCAATCCGCATGATCAATCTGACTGTAAAAGTACAATTCTGGATACAGTTTCAATCCATGATCCAGCTGAGCTTAGCTGTGTGTTTCCCAATATCATAAGCTATGATATGGACGGCTTTATTAGGAATTTACATTGACGCAATACCGACCTCTAGTGTCAGACTCTCAAATGTTGTCTCTAGTGTCATCTGAAGCAATCAGTCGGTGATGGAGAAAAAAAGTGATGTCTTTCGTGGGGCACAACTCAACAGGATTTCCGCCCTCACCAGGCGCCGCTGTTCATGAAATTTTCACTGCGAAATTTTACTTAATGTAAATAACCTGCTGTCCTCTATGCACCATTTACCAATTCTGGTAAGAAAAATAGCTCAGAAACCAATGCGATTGCTTGCGCGCAAGAATTGCTGCGGAGGGAAGAACACCGCGAAACTGGTATTCAAAATGATGCCTTACAATCCTGAATTTTATCAAAATTCTGAAGAGGTAGAGCCTGAGAGAAGCAACATGAAGCGTTGGAAAGGAAGGAGGTCTGTGGGAAGATTCCCAATGAATCGTGGGATCGACGCATGGCAGCAGGCACGGCTCGGCACTATTCAGTTGTTTTCCCAAAAGAATTCAAGGTGATGGATATCATTTGCGATGAATCTGGTACGCTTGAAAGCATAAAACGGGTCACCACATAGTTGAAAGTGAGCAAATTTGAAGATCATAACCGAAGCTCGTCCAAGAGGATAATGATGTTCTGGTGATCTTTCGTGTAGTTATCTTTTTCGCATACAAATTACTGCTCCAAGCAAAATTGTTCGCAGTGGATGTTAAAGTTCTTGCGCGTCCTATTTTGATATTGTCCATCGATAGAGTGACCGGCTCTTCTCCTCATTAAAACAACCTTCTCCTCTTGCTGCAAAAATCGCTTCGACCAAGACATGTGGCATTGGATTTCCAACAGCTTTTGACCGCAGCGACCCACTCCGAAAGAGTTTATTCACTCGTAGAACGTGAGGGTATGCTGTGATCTTTTGAACGAAAGTCAAAATAGAGCTGCAGTGAACATGAAAGTATGGATACCGAGTCGACTAAAAATGAAAAAAAGTAAAAGAAACCCTTAGCGAAGCCCTTAACAAGGACCCCTTCTCGTCCAGATGAGGAAGGGCGTGTCTAGACGAGTTTAAATGAATGCAGTTGCATCAGCGTAGTGCGTGTATCATATCTGTTCAAGGTTTTTTTTAGCAACACTTCACATCGTTTCGACAAGAGCCCATGCATCTTTTCACTGCAGGATGGGGCAAAATTACTGGTGCATCTACATATAATGGATTTCTTCAAATCTTTGTTTAGACTTTCTCTTCTGATTATTTCATGACATGTAGCTTGAAAACGCTGCTGCCAAAACGCCCTGATCACAAAAGGTTAGGCCCTTCCACTTTGCGAAGTGCACCAAGCAAGCCAACAGAGCGCTATGCGAAACCGTTCTTTTTTCAAATTTTTCAAATTCTCACATTTCTCAGACAGCGTTCAAACTCGGATTTCGTTCAAACAACCATGGGCGCGTTATACGATCTGGAGAGGACTGCGGATGAACTCACCAAAGGGTTTGTTTTGGACACTGACCCAGAATGGTCTTCGAACAGTGCACTAAGCAAACCCTCAACTTCATCAGTTATGACGAATGGCTCTGCAATTCTGGAAAGAAGAATTAGCAGCAAAGGCTATTCTAAGGGAAAACGATTGCTCCTATTGAACATCTTAAATGAGCCGCTCTGCGTAAAGGCGCTTTGGAATCCTGGGACGAAATTGATGAAAAATACCTGCGTGCCACATGCCATGCGTATGCCTAAGTGTTGGGGCGATCATTTAGAAAACTGTTTATATGCTTTGAATAGTCATCTTTTCTACAAATAATATTCGTGATTAGAATCGATTTCGTAAAGCTAGTTTCGAAATACCAAGAAAATATTAGTGCACCAGTAATTTTGCCACCGTGGATTACTAGACGTTGAACAACGCGCTGGGATGGTTGCTTTTACCACTTACAAGAATGATGTGGTCTACTTCCATTCCGATCATGCATTTTACCTATTTTGCAGTCATTTGGTACGCGCCATGCACTGTACTCTTATCCAGAAGTAATACTCGAATGCAAGCCTGAGTTGCTGAGGGTTCCAGCAAAACAAAGTCAGGGAACCATCAGCGAAGGTGTTCAATTTGGCACTCAAGTATTAATAGTGAAAGCTAATTACTTCTTCATCCTGGTTCAATAAACCGATTCCTGCTGAGAATACTGCGGCTATGACACGTGGTGACAGACGCGGATAATTACCACTATACTACAGTGGTGTAGTGGCAAGTGGGACCTTACCACACGCGCGGTCCGGAGATTCAAATCCTGGGTCATTCATCCGGGCCAACCAAGCCTTCCATCCCTCCGGGGTCGGTTAATTGGTACCAGACTTGTCTGGGAGGATAAAAACACTGACTTGTACATCGGCTGGCCCCGCAAGTCATTGTATAGGCCACATCGCATTCAAACGCCACTACGAATGTACAAATGGAAGTAGAATGCGTGCCGCATCCCAAAAAGGGATTGATCAACGGCAAATGCTTTATCCTTTGTTGCAAACTTTCATCCCGCGTAGATTGTAAGGAACGGCAAGAGGTAAGAAGTTTTGCAAATGGTACGCTTCGTGTGAAAGTCCCACCAAACGCCTCTCGTTGAATGTGGAGGATAAATAACTTCTAAACGCCAATCGGTCATACGCCTTGAAACAAAGCAGGAACCTTTTTCTGAGGCCATTGCTAACGCGAGCTTGTAAGCAAACTGCTAACGAAGGCATTTAAAATACTCATATTGTTGAGAAAATCTGTCGCCCTGAACGAGTACCTTGCTCTTCCAAATAACTCTGCTATTGACTGAAAGCAAGCAATTTTAGGAGAGATAGTCTTGTTCCAGCCGGTTGGAGCTCGAACCCAGGAGTAGCGCAGGAGTGATGCAGCGCCTTCAGTCGTTGCACCATCAAGCAACACAGAATTCACTGAGACTTTTATGGCGTTATTATTACGAACATACAACACCAAATTCATCACAAATTGAAACAAATAAATATTAAAATGAGATTTGGTGCGAGAATACGTGAACGTATTGTTAAACATGCAACTGAGCGATCACAGGGGTAAAAAAATTGAGACTAATAGAGCAACATGTACATGATCCGGCCTAAAGTTGGGACAAAGATCTCACAAAGAAAAATGCAGCATGACCGGTAGGCAAGAGTATAACCGATAGAAGGTGAAAGACACGCTTTGCTGGGGCGCTTCATAAACTCAGCTACGCTCAGCGTAAACCTCGGGTTGACAGAGTCAGAGGACTTCCAGACGGGTGGACGGACGACGCCTGGCAGCCGATTGTGAAATTAACAGAGGGAAAATTCTTTTCCGCATTCGAGATCGACAATGCGCTTTTGCGCCAAAGGTTCAATCGTCACCCGTTCCTCATCCAGCCCGAACCTTCTTGCTCGTAACCCTGTAAGAAAGTATTTTCCCTACTTCTTTGCATGGGACCAAACAGAACGAGGAAACTGCCGAAGAATTTTCAATGTCTTCTTACCTTTGTCGACTTACGCGGATTCTCGTCCACTGAGCTTGGGGTGTCAGATGTGTAGTCTTCGTCAGAAATTCCGGAATCTGTCACGAATGATGACGGTGAATGTCTGAATCAAAGCAATTCGCAAAGAACATCAGAAGTTTGTAGGCAAATAAATATTTCCGGCGCTCATGACCTCAGGGGGCGTGAGGGTGGTACGTTCAAGGCAGGACATTCAAAAACCGCTGGTAGGCCGGCGCCAAGACGAAGTCCAGGAGAGGGGAGAAATGCAAGGAGAACAAAAGTTGCTCACGTTCTCCCTCCGAATCAAGGGTGAATAACGGTCGAGGAATCCCTCGACCATGGCTCTGTACTGTGCGAGAGTAGTGCCGAGAGTGAACGTACGCGCGGAGAGCACAGACGGCTCGCGCATGGCGAGTGTGAATGTCCGCGCGGGAGAGCGTAACTGATCAGGCGAAAATCCTCGACAAGCCGTTGAGGAATCCTCGACCGATATTCACCCTGCTCCGAATCTCTTCCCCTCCCTGAGGCTTAGTCTTAAGTTCTGTAAGTGGCTCATCCACTTCAACTCCCCCGTACGACATGAGCAGCTTTACTTCTTCCAAGAATTTGTGCCTATATCTGTCTTTCTTTAGATTCATTTGCAATGCAGTTTATGGTTTTGAGCGGTGGCAAGTAACGCCACTATTACTCGAATCGCTTTCAAAAGACTGACTAAGTAATTTGCCTTTTTGAAGTAATTGCCCAAAATACGCCCAACATCTTTCGTTTCAAGTTGCAAGCCTGCAGGTGAATGACTGCGAGTAGTTAGCAACGACCTGTCCTCTTGCAAGTGCTTGCTATACCTTGAAGGACAGGTCACAAAATTGTCTAGTTTCTTGTCTTCAGCCACCGAGATTGATATTCATTTTATTTGGCTAACGTTTCGGCGCAATCGCCTTCTTCGGAGCCTGCAAATCGAAGCATTTTTTGAAACAATTCATCCAAGCACCATTTCAGATTACAAGAAGGAAAACGATGAGTCAAGAGTGTCATAAACCGCAATGGTTTCTAGAAGCGAGCGCTAGAAGACAGCGTTTGTTCTTAATGAGGAATTCACGATAAGAACGAAGGTCAAAGAAGGGGAAAATTGCATAGTTGGGAGACAGGACCTCCTGAGGGTGCTGACCGACGCGCAATTGGCAGCGAAAGATTTGACCTCGGCGATCTAGCATGGCTCACTCTTGGCGCGGTTGGCGGGGTACGCCCACCGACTATCTAATCACTCGCCGCAGGTCTATACGGTGATTAGATAGCAGAGAGAGCGTAGTGTTGAAGAGGGCACAGCGATGAGAGTCGCATCAATGCGCAAATCAACGGGCAAGGAAGGGGTCCCATTTCTCGGGTTTCGGGCCGTTTCAAATGGTTTCTTCTTCATCCCTGCTCCACTGACCACCTCTACCGTGAGCTAATTTTTCATCGTAAATTCTGCCTTTAAAGACCGTACGGCGTGCTTTTATATGTGCTTGGCATGGCTTAGGGGAATCCCCCAGGGCCACAAATGTTCCAATAGAAGTGGGTGCGCTCAAAAGATGTAGGTGTACGTCAGTGCGTTGGCGGGCAG